TCTTTGAAAAAAAAAAAAGAAAAGCAAAATAATGTTGGCTGTTTTGTCATCTCTTAGTGTTTCTCACAGGTTCAGTATTTACTTATGGTTGTGAGTGACTCAGCATGACCGATGTGCGTGCAGAGACTCACAGTCTAGAGGGAGGGAGAGCGCAATTCACAATGTTTTCTACAATCTACGGATGTCTCATGAATGCCTTTTTGCAGTTCACCAATGTTTATCAGTTTACCAGTGTTCCTTAAATGCCTCACATGCGTCCGTAGACACCAGCTGGGCAGCTGTGCACAGAGAAGCCTCTAGTCTCCACTATGTAAAGTGAAATAAGACGTCCTATGTATGTATTGTAAGCTTTGAAACTGGGTGCTGTTGTTTTCTACCAGAGACACACACAGACAAATCTTTCAGGCACACCAGCGTGACAAATCAAAATGTTCTAGCCACACTTTACACCAAAATGGTTACACTCTGTAGCCCTGATCACATTAAACCACTTGAAATGGATTCATGTAGGTTCGTATCAATATACAAAGCTTTTAAGGGTTAAAATGTGACTGAAGTAAAAGAAAATCATCATATTTAATATTTTGAAGAAAATACCTTTTTCTATCTTCTCTTTGAGTAACGTTTCCTGAGCCACCCATGACTCTGAAGTCCACTATTCCTGCTTGGGCTAAAACCCTCCAGCAGGTCCTTTGCAGTCATGTGGGGGCTTTTACTTTTCTAACCAGGAGACATGCAGTTATATCTGAAAGTTTCTTTGGTCTTCAAGATCTTATCTGGACTTCCACGGTCAGTTGAAATGTCATTTTGGCAAATGACATTTGGGAGAGTGAAAATTGCAAGCTGACAGCAATTTGACATTTTTTTATAGCCTTCCACAAGAAGAAGGGTTCCTAAACTTTTGCACATGCCACAGGTATTTCATTTCAAGGCCAAAGTAACATCGCATTAACTGTTTTCTACAGAGGTTTAATTTAGTTCTTTTCTTTACTAAAATCAACCACATATTTTGCTTAAACATTTGTCCACTTAAACTTGTATCTGTATGATTTGTTGTCATATTAATATGAATCTGTTGGTATAAAGTGGCATCATTTGTCAGTTGTCCACAGTACACTTCTCTATTTTTGACCTCAACCTGATTAATTGTTGGGAAACACCTTGGAAGCAGGTTTTAAATTAAAGTGTGCTGCACTCTTCTTTTTCCCCTCCTCCTAGTTTCTCCTTTTCCTTTGCTACCTTCTTCCCATCTGTATCAGTGGCACACTGCTCATTAGCTTTCTGTCAGTCTTGGTTTCTGTCTCCGACTCCCTCTCTTTTCCTCCTCTCTCACTCTCTTTCTCCTTTCCTGTCATGCAGTTCTTCACTCTCATATTCTTTTTCATCCCATCGGTTTCTCCTTCCCTGTGTGTGATTTTAACAAAAGATTCGACAGGGATCTCCTCCCTCCTCATCACTCTCTCCTTCGCTCAGGCCATTTTCTTGCTTCTCCTGAGCCACTTCTTTCCTTCTCGCCTTTCTTTCCTTCTCTCTCTTGTCTCTCTCCGTCTGTCCCCGTTTTCCACTTTGCTGAGAATGTTTTCTGCAAGAAATGAAAGGAAGGATCTTAACCCGCCTCCCACATTCATGCAAAAACACACCCTCACACAGGAGCGAGGAATCGTGACTGCTGTACCCATACAAGCCACAGTGAGAGAGCAAATGTACACTAACACAGAGGACTATCGACTTCTCCGCGATTTGCACGCTTAAAGGTGCGCATCGCTCAAAGTGCAGCAGAAAGACGACGCGAACGCAGCCACACGTCGCCTTCACAGCAAAGCCCTGAGCGTAGAGCAAGTGAGAGAACCGAAGGTGGAAATTAGGGGGAAGGGGAGCGAGAAGCAGAAGTGAGAAGACGAGATGGCGCGAAGGGAAAGCAGGTGATGACGAGTGAGAACAAACTCCACTTTCTTATTTTAATGGCTTTCAAATGGGGCTGCTTGGTGAGTTCAGCTTCGCTCTTTTCGAAAGGGGAGTCAAATCCTCCCATCTGCCCACCAGCCACACTGACTGATCCGTCTCTAATGCTTCCTTCTGTGAGAGGAAAACACCCAGAATGCTGTCAACTTTTTGTGCACGTGTGTGTGTTGCTATTGTCAGAGTCTGTCCTTAAAAACTTGGCCCACAATCAGCTGTGTATGCGGCCTTGTTTACTTCACGAGTCGGGCTCACCTCTGGTTGAATCTGTAGCACTTAAACCTGACTTGATTTGGGAAGATCTAGAAGTCCTTGAAATAGCTCGTGCTGATAACATGACTCGGGTCTCTTCTTCTTTCAGGGATGGCTGAATGTAATGCATCATGCAAATCCCTTTATTTCCATGGAATATCTGTTTTACCCACAGTGCTGTAACAGTTAGGCCTGTCAGGTAAAAATATATAAATGAACCAAGCTTAAACAACTTCTAACGATCCCATCATTCTGGCTGCAACCAACCACAAAAGCACTGAATTGGAAGGTTCTAACATACTTTATGTGAGAATGAATTCAACTTTAACTAACATTTGTTGTCCCGCCTCTTTTTTTTTTGATCCGAGATACACGCAAATATCGACAAGTAAACTCGATTTTGACCATTTTCCGATTAGTTTACGTTCGTCAGTCATGAATCAGATAGTTGTGTTCAACTAAAAGCTGTCTGGAGGTGCTTTAAAGTCTTTAAATTGGTTGTTATGCTGAATTTAAAATGATGGAAAGAATCAAATAATCCTATTTTGCTAACTGTAAAATCTCAATGATTCATACTATAAATGTAGTAAGTAATTATCAGAAATGGAATTATTTGCTTATTCAGTTGTCCAGTCCATCAAATGACTAATTGTTTCAGCGCTATTTTGCTATTTCGCCTAATGACAAATCATAAGTATAAACATTTTAGAGGGAGCCAACTGACCACACTGACTCTTCGTGTAATATTCAACTGAAAAGCACCACAATATCTCCATTTGTGCATAATTTAAAAATACTTGGCAGAAAATGGCAGCATTTTAAATCTGCATTAACATCATTTGTGCTTCGTCCTCTGTGGCTACTTCCATTAAAATGATTCACACACTCTGACCTTTTCCACTGTTACTTTTACTGTAATTATATATTCAGTCTGTGTACTGAGCCTAAACTATGCACCTGTAATTGCAAACTAAACTTTGAATTACAACTCATTTAGCGGTGCTGCAAATGCAGCAGTGAGTACATCATGAGTAATTTTCCCCCCATTCAGAAATCACAAGTTACCCACTTCAGTTAATAGTGATGTTCTCTTGTTTTACTGTGTCAAGGTCAAGCGTGGCTAATGGCCAAAACATTGTCATTGTCACATTGACTCAGTGGTGGTTAGAGCTGCAGCCAACAGCTGAAGAGCACTCCATGTCTTGTCAGTCAACTGACGGGCTGTGGAGATGGAGTGGAAATGTAAAGTGCCACTATTGCTGATTTCACTGTCGGAAAGCCATTTACAGATAAACTGCGGTTGTAGCGGAACATTCAAATTACCATAGATGTGTGGAGACACTCGTGGCTTGTATAATACTGACAGCTGAAGCACAGAGCTGTAAAAACTGAACCAATCTACAGTATACACCAATCAGCCACAACATTAAAATGACTGCAAACAATGATCGTCTCATTACAATGAACTCCCCAACGGCAGCAGGAGCTTAAGTTTTTGTTTGTACCCAAAGATTGTTCCAAATACTGTTCACAACAACTACTGTATGCCTAAAGGACCTAGTAACAGATATGAACACACTGCAAGAGCTTCAGAAAATACTGAAGTTTCAGTACATTAATCCCATCCTGCCTCATAGAAATTGTGTTTCTATGTGATGTTATGTAAATGTGACCAGATTACATACACATAACATAGCTATTATAGCTTCTATGGTTATATTCAGGCACTGGCAGGCTTTGGTTAAAGTTACAATTGTGGTCTTGATTAACACAGAAAAAACTTGCAGAATTGAGACAAATCGATCATTTACATATAACCTAAACTGATTACATTTAAATCTAAGTGCTGAAAACAAGGTAAATTGAAAATCTTCACATACATTTATATTAAACCGAATCTTTTCCCAACTTCAACCAAAGCGTTTTTGTCACAAAAACCAAACCATAGACAGGAATCTGAATGCAAACGGGCTCTCGGCTTTGTAAGCCCACCATCCGCCCCAACCACCTCCTAGTGACTGTGGTGCAGCTGCATTTAATAAAGAATATAAGCAGATGAATGTAGGCTGGAACCGCTGAGGATTAGGGTTGAATGTTTTCTCATGATTACATTCCAGGAAAACAGATTTTTTTTTGCCCAGAAACCAGGAACCCCACCATATAAGAAGGTATTTTTAACAGCCATTAGACATGAGTTCATCACCATTAAGATGTTTGCTGTGCTCATCTGAATGCTGCTCTGTACTCTGAGGTTGTTGAATATCCTACATTCTGTAGTTTTCATTTACAGATTTCTGCTTTGTTCTTTTCTTTCATTTTATTAAATGTAACAGTTAAATTATAAAGTAGGCGATAGACTAAAGCAAGTTTATTCAAAGTTAGTTAAATAATAATTTAAAAAAAACTTTCTCTTCTCTGTCTTTATTCAAAATGGTTTATTAAAAATGAGCAATAATTATAGGGACTGGCTGATATTTGAAAAACTTGTGATGATAGACTTACTTAAAAACTGCTGCAGATGAAAGTTGCCAACCATAATAATGATATCTGAAGGTTGGATTTTAGTATTTAGATGTGGCAGTTAAGATTTTAATGAAAACAGTAGGAGTAGTAGGAATCTTTATCAGTCAGACACACAAATACACAAGAATATTTACAGTAATAATGGAGGATTTGGGTTCCCAGACGCAGAAAATTAAATCAATGTTAGTGGGAATTCCTAGTAAATACCTGGATTTCAGCACAGAAATATTAAACTCCAGGAGGGATACGCGCATTTTGAACAATACCTCTGTGAGTGCTTGGTGAATAAAACAGGCGGTTTGAGGGGACACCTCCCAGGGAGTCTTCTCCTCCACCATGATGGCATCCAGCGTGGCTTTCTCCAGGACGACATCAAAGGATGCATCGGGGAAGGAGAGCTGGCGAACGTCCATCTGGTGCCAGGTCATTCCCGGGCAGTTGCTGTACCTCTCGCTCATTGTACTGATGCACACTGAGGAGTAATCTACGTTGGTGATGGCACGGTAGCCGGCATTGTACATGTCGCCACTCATGCTGCTGTTTCCACAACCTGAAAGAACAGAAGTAAAAAGTGAGCCGATGCCAGGTGAAAAGGGGAAGACAACAGATACGCTAGGAGAGGAGAGAAGGTCGTCAAATGAGGAGGGAAAAGAAGGTGAAATATGCAGGAAGAAGAGAGAAGGGAGAAACCCAATCTTTGACTATTCACATGTCCAGTACGTTTTTCAGTATGAATAAACAATGGCGTGATCAATAAAACATAATGTGATTAAACAGGTAGCTGCCATCGTGGCAACAAAAGGCTTCTATTAGACCACCTCCTGTGACTGATGAAAAAGCCTCATGCAGCCTCTGTTTGATCAAACTGCTGTTCAGTCATAAGCGGCAAAGCAGAGATGGAAAACCTCCCACTCCAGAGGATCATATGGGGCTCATATAAAGTGCACTCGGGGGGGTGGGGGGGCAGCTTATCCTGAAATGATGTCAGACTCCGCAAAGATCATCACCGGCAACCAGGTTTCAACTTGTAGCTTGCCGCTGGGTGACAGATGGATGAAAGGCAGGGAGGGTAATAAAAGAAGGACAAAAGAAAAGTGACGAGAGCCTATCGTGTAGCAAGACAAGATGAAAATAATCTACTGAAAGCAGCAGCAGCTCACCTTTAGGATCAAATGACTCAGATCGTGTGGATGGAGGTGGAGGAGGAGTGGGCGGAGGAGATAGGAAAAGAGGGAAAGAAAAGTGTAGGAGGAGGACTTTGTGGGGGGACATATAAGCAGCCTTGATGCACAATTTCTGTGTCAATAAAAGGTGAAGATCATGTGTGTTGGCCTACAAGACGGCTTTATTTTCTTGCACTGGTGAAAGTGGCTATATCTACATCTCTCTTCAAGAATATTTCCCCACACGAGAGGGGAAAGAGGGTGTGCTAGGTGGGGCTGTGACTTCCAGCAACACGTTGACACTGACGCCTTGGTTGCGAACGTGTGACTGGCGCTTGTTATCACCTTACTGCTTCTACTAATTACCACCTTGCAAAACCCCCATGCACGTGTGTGAGTGTCTAAAACTGATTCGGTTAGCAGCCTTACGCTAAGCAACACATTTGTAACCCATTTAGACGTGTGTGTGTGTGTGTGTGTGCAGCACATGTGGAAACCTTCTGTGGTTCAATCTTAGGTGGTATTAATTCTCACACCTAGACAACTGGAAGGCGGAAGATGTGAGATACAAACCAATAAAGACAGATTTAAAGTGACATAAGGCTTAAAAATTGGAGTCGGAGATACATTAAATCACAGCATAGAAAGGAAATCCTCCCATCGATGATAACGCACTCAAGAGATAAGTGCGCTTTTTGCATACAAATGTGTGTGTGCATGTGTGTGTGCGCTGGAGACATCAGAGGGCTGGAGCCGTGCCGTCCCCTGACGGCTCTCCCTGAGAAGTTGGCTTCAAAACAAGGGAGGAAAATATGTCAGCGCTGTTTGTCACACTCAAATAGTTGAAACCGACTTTATGGATGGGTGGAATATGAGAGAATGTACCCGAGTTGAATTACACAGGCTCACCAGGTTATTTTAGATAACTTTAATCTCACTTTACCTGTGCCAAAAACAAGCTTTGCAAAACACACTGCAGGGAACTTAACAAACAAGGTATGCTCAAGGCATTGCAAAAAATTGTGGCTTCAACCTCTGGAAAATATTGTGGCCAATTTCAAAACTGCAATTAAGCTGATGGTAAAAACGAGGGTCTCGTTTTGTGCCCCTGTTTGGTGCTGTCCAGAGTGGGTTAAATCACTCCTGCTCTGCCCTCTCAATTCCCCAAGCACGCCAGACATTGTTTCCAAAGGGTTCTCCCAGTAGACACAGCCATGTGTGTGTGAGTGTGTGTGTGTGAGAGAGTGTGCGCTTTCTTTTTCCATGCGCTTGGCTCTGAGGAAGGGGTGTCACATGACAGCTCATTCCTAGGGGTTGTCACGACAATTATAGTTGCCAGGCTGTCATCAAGGACACTACTCTCGTTTTGGGTCTGTGACATCAGCTGGTGCCCCCCGCAACCTCTGACCTTCACACAAACACATCCACACAGCCAAAAAAGACATATGAAAGGGTGGACTGCTTACATGTCAGACTGTGTGTTCAAAACCACCGTCGTGAGGGCACTTCTGCACGGTGATACGTGGTATTTTGGGAAGGTCTTTCAACTTCAAAGGGCTATTTTAGGATTCAGCCTTGGTTTTAGGGTTCAGGTGAGGTTAGGTTAGGTTAGGTAAGGGCCTTTAGCTGTAACGGTAAAAGTCAAAGGCGTTAGGTAATGCACTACGAATGCATGTATGGTCCCAGAGTGTCTGCACCATGCGTGTTTATGCGACAGAGGCTTACTCAGGATACCAGGCCAGTCTGGAGCCTGAAGCCTGTTTTTTCTCCAGCTTGAAAGGAAGTGAGTGCAATCACTGTGACATCAGTTTCAAGTTTAGCATTTTGGTTTTATGGAGCCAGAAGTGACCATAACTGGACAAGAAGGTGGAGGTGACTGAGAACCAAAGGAACACTATGCACACCCACCTACACTGGAAACCAGACTGTACTTGGCTCCCATCCACCTGATGCAAAGTCAGTGTTAACAAAGTTAGCTTCCATAAGGTACAATACGAGATACCAAGCTAGCTTGGTTAGCATCTGTAAACCATGTTGACTGTGATATTAACTGAGATGCTAAACCTACCAAGCAAAAAAACAGGCTAAAACTAAATGACCTTACCAGACAAAATGATCTGCCGACTCCTTAGAACAGGGGTCTCGAACTCCGGTCCTCGAGGGCCGCAATCCTGCAAGTTTTAGATGTTTCCTTCTTCCAACACACCTGATTCAAATGATCAGGATCATTATCAGGCTTCTGCAGAGCTTGATGATGAACTGATCATTTGAATCAGGTGTGTTGGAAGAAGGAAACATCTAAAACTTGCAGGATTGCGGCCCTCGAGGACCGGAGTTCGAGACCCCTGCCTTAGAATGTGTTACAACTGGTTAGAGACATTTTTAGTGATCAAAATGTTACAGCTACCTTTCAAGAAATACAAAAACACTGTGAAAGGACCAGAACACTGACAGTGACAGATATCAAGCTCATGGCTATTTAAAAAGATATAGCAATGGATAAACATTGCTCTACCTCTGCCATGGTGAATTTGCTGTGGCAACTTGTCAATTAAAAGTTATAAGCAACAAACTAAAACATTTATGCTTTATTGTCTGTTTCACTCTAAATGGAAACATAATTTACAAAATAAACACCACGCTGTATTCAAGAAGAACTAAAACTAGCTATTCAGACCACAAAGTTCCGAGGAAAATGCTTCCTGAGGAAACAAATAAAGGCAGAAGTTTTTCTTGCACAGCTTTATGCAGTCAGACTACTTTTGCAACCAGAGGAGTCGCACTCTGCTGGCTATTAGAAAGAATGCAGGTTTAACTAAGTTCCGCATTGACTTTACTTTTAAGTCCCGGATATTCCATCCAGTCTATGAGCTGGAAGCAAGGAGGCCAAAACCTCCTGACAGCCTGAGAGCACATCCTAACTGGATTATTCAGAGCGCCACAGAGGGAGACTAAAGTTAGAGGTGTCGAGTCACCTCGTTCTGCCGGCTATGTGAGTCTATCCATGTGTGATGGAAAATTTAAGTCCTGGTCTTAAAAAGTTCCATACCACTCGTACCAAATCTGCAAAAACAAACCGTGGTAAACATCAGTCATCTGTTTGTTGCATCTGTAAACAGTTTCTTAGCTTGAGTGTGTATTTTCGTCACGTTTGCCTCTCGATGACCATTTACACAGGACATTTTGCACAAACAAGATTTTTTTTTTTTCAAAATATTGTGCAAGAAGTAAACCAGCTGCTGAGCGCTGAGAGGAATGTTGGCCAAACATGGAGGTGGTTTCTTCCTGCACACTCAGAGATGCTCTGTCCAACAATGGTATCATGTTGCCTGTCTGACCTGACAAAGCCTTTGATATTCGAACAGCTTAACATGTGACTCTCACGGCTGCGGAGATACACCACAGGAAAGGAAACCTCTGAGGTAATCACTGGAATAACCCAGTATTTCTCTGCTGCTTGTTGGCTCGTCAAACACGAGGAAAAGGGGCCACATGGAAACATTCCTGAATGACACTTTTGATAAAATTACATTTCGGAACCAAACTGAAGTTCTAAACTTGTTTTTCCATTCAAACAATATGCACATGTCCAAAAAAAAAGAGAAAAAGATGATCTTGCAAATAGATCTTCCAACAGAAAATCAGAGTCTTTAAAGTATAAATAACAGCTTCTGATATTTCTGTGATTTTCCACAAGGAATAACCCCATTCATCACCATGCTCCAGTAAATCATCGAGCTGGCTGTCTACATGGGTGCTCACCTCATTTATAGCACAAGTGTATGCGATACTGTTACAGGACAGTGTGCATTGGTGGATGTAAACTAACTTTAATGATTGCAAAACTTGTTTTTGATGTCAATGCACCATGATACCTGCACTCATCCAAAATCAAGGATCCTAATTTGGAGTCCATCCTACAGAAGCAAAAATGTCAGCTGAGGTTTATGGCTCTTTTATAATAATCTAATTAGTTTACGGCTCACTTCCTTGACTCTTGCATGATATGAACCGTCGGAGATTTGACCTTTGAGCTTTAAGATGACTACCCTCCGCATAAACAGCAACTCTCCAGACTCCATCTATGGTCAGGAGGGGTGGTGGGTGGGGAACCCCTGCTAGCGAGCCAGCGGTGTGAAATATCAAAGCTGCTATCTCTGAGGTGAGCCGAGCACAGCAGTGGAAACTCCATGATGTCAGAGGCGTGCATGGTATTCATTCACATGCCAGATTGGTTTAGGCACATTAAGGATGGGGGACTGTGGCCAGGGCTGATGAAAGGTGATGTTCACATGCACTCGAGCAACAACACCGTGCTTCACCACCCCTGCACGCCCATGCTCTGGGCTAGCCCGAGGTAAACTGATGCCACGGTGACACTTCACAA